ACTTAGTGAAAAACCATCCATGGTTTCTCAGATCTCTTTCCTTACTACCATTATAGAAAAGTGCAAATAATAGGAATGCTACAAACCTTAACTTCTTATTAAAAACGCAATTTGAACAAACAACAAAAACTGATTCATCAAGAACACGTTCAGTGCTCCATGGTCAGTTAAAGACGCCGGGAATGCCTTCAAAACCCTGCTGGATGAAAAATTGGATCGAAGTGCACACGTTACGTGAAGGCTCTTCTTAATCCTTCGCTCTGAAGACTGAGCACTAACGCTCAGAAAGTCAGCTTTGGAAACTCTTTACGGTGGCCGATTTATATCATCAACTCAGTTGATAAATCAAAATCATCCTCAATTCCATTTTAGTTACTGACGAAAATATTCGAGAGCCAATAAAAAGCAGAGATTTTTGACGAGGTTTAGTGAGAATTTCAAAGACCCTGCCGCTTAGCCGTGCCACAAGCGTTAAAAACGCGATGAAAAGCGGAAGGAAGAAAGAGAAAAGAAAGAACGGACGGAAAGATAAGATAAAAAAGCTACTTAAAAGAAGCAAAAGTCAATGACTTACAGGTTAGAGGTACAAGCTCTCTCAAACTGCAAATATTTGTTCTAAAGAAAGCAAAAGAACTCGCCTAACCACAAACTATAATTTCTGCTTCATTTTCATGTAACACTCCTTTTTTTTAAACAAATAATGCAATATTCACTCTCCAAACCCGTAAGTGACGAACGTAATCGAAGGTTACCCTTACAAGTGGTTTCACTATCTGCCCATGCGCAGATCCCTCTATGAAAAAAATTGAAAAATGGCCTAAGTAAGTTTCAACATATCCGTGCCACCGCGATTTTGACGGGCTAAAGTTTAGACGGCCTTTGGAAACTCACCTGTTAAATTTCTCACCTAACAATTTGTCTTGGAGTTCAAATTTCTGTGCAGGTGGGCAAAAAGAAATACTTTTACGCAATAGTTTTTAAACCGTAGAAAATTAATCCTATACCGTGTGAATGTAGCCTTAGCAACATCAGCATAGCTTATTTGGATTTTTCGAAGTACTTGTCAAATAATACACGGTTCCAATTCTTTCACTTTAAGGATTGCCTATTACACAATTTCATATTCGACAATTTCAGTAAAGGTGTAAATTTATGACATCGTGTTCGAAATACTTTCGCGCCCAACATTATCGCAATTAATTATGACGTCATGAACGATAATGATCACTTGAGATTCTTCAGTTCAACTTCGCTCGCGATTTTGAACAGCTTCGAGATGATTTCGAGAAGACAAAGCATTGTGCTTATCATGATTATTTTGTGCTCTTTTACTCAAGCCAAGCTTGAATGTCCGTCGAAATGTCACTGTGCAGATGACTTCTCCGTCGTGATTTGCCGAGGATTGGAAAAATTCCCCGTGTTTGGCTTTGCATCAGTCGTCAAAATTCTGTAAGTTATACCATCAACTTTCCCAGACGCGACTACTTGAAACTGCAATTGGCATTCAAATGAATAAAAGTGTTCTCTGGCAAGTTGTATTTAAGGACAGTTTAGTGATGGAAACCGGAAAGTAAAATAGTAACTGTATCTTTCTTTGAAAGGAAAGTAGAAAAACTTTGAAACAAAGCAATCTTGACACTGTTCGAGCTAAATTTCAAAATCGCTTAAATTATAAGAGAAACTCTTGATAGAAAAAGGGTAGGACGAGTGTATTGCGAGAAAAAAGTCACTTGTTATAGTCAGTTACTTTCTTTATCTGTCTGTCTTTTTGTTTCTGCAGGGATTTGACGCATGGAAATATCAAACGCATTGACTCTAGAGATGTGAGGGCATACTCACGCCTGGAAAAACTGTAAGTGGAAATAAACCTCAAAGATTTTTTATTGTAGAAACAACTCGAAAGCGCCGAGTTTTTATTACTGTTTGATAAGAGATCAACAGCAACAGAAAAAGAATGCATTAATGCAGAATATGATTGCATGGTGTCTTCAGTTCTGGCCGATTGCCTTATGACAAATCATCCCCTGAAAGACAAATTCAAAAAAGGTCTCAATCTCGTTTCCTTTCTCCATCCCTAGGTTTATCAATCACAATCCTCTGGACTGCGACTACGTGAATATCTACACGCTGAAACACTTGAAAGAAACCGCTGGATTGGAATCATTTGACGGCCACGAAATTGAATGTCCACCAGAACCCTCAGTAATGAATGCTAGACTCTTTGGTAAATTAAACCCATAGCCTTTTGCTATTCATGTTATGAAAAACTTTTCAATTCAAATGCAATTTTTACATCAAACATGCGCCCCTTTATGAATTACAAAATCTTACTTATATTTACCTCTGAAATCACGAACTTTTTTACAGTCAACAATCATCATGGACATTATAATCATCACATACTGTCAGGAGGATCACCTCAGTTTGTATTTTATCATGCAAGCTTTTCTCAGTTGGCGATGGCTGTTGGGACGGTAATAGTTGTTCTGAGCGTGCTCACTGTGGCTGTTGTGTGTTGTGTCTTGGTGTGCTATCGGCGCAAACTGTCTCGGTGAGTGTCCATATTCTTCAGCGTCTCACAATACACAAGGCGAAGCTGGTACTTTGTAAGTCCTTTGTAGTTAGCTGACTAGTTCTAAACAATGTTAAGCGCCCTCATTCACTCTTGTCTTTGTCGTCTCTCTTTTCCAGAGGATTTCAGCGCCATAACTTGGCTACTGAAGATCCCCTCAGCAAAATAGAGAAAGGAACTGGAAATAAATCTGGCAAGGTTGGAAAGGGAGGAAAGAAATGTTCAAAGAAACAGCGGAAAGGCCCCCAAGGACATCCTAAACGTGGTAAAGTCAACACGGATGGTTCGGGTGAAGTAGAGGAGGTGGATTATCTAAAGAAGAAGATGAGGAAACAGCGAAGAGGTTCCCGGGGATATCTTAAAAACGTGAAATCTGATGACTCGTTTTTTGCAAAGGAGGAAGATTTTCTGACGAAGAACTTAAAGATACAGAGGAGCGTGTCCCGAGGGTATGCTATGGGGGCTAGATCCAGTGACGACGATTAAAGTGATTGCTTTTCTGGAGGTCAATTTGATGGACGAGTTTCATACTTTTGAGTGTAAACACTGTGAAATTTTACACAGTCTAAACGTTTCACTACCGATTTTTTATTTCCAATATATATTTACAAAAACCAAGAAGTACCTATGTTCATAAGTTAATCTCCTATGTTTCCTCTCGCTTTACAATTTGTGTTTCTTCGAGGTCTCACAATTTCGTGAGAGACTTTTTTATATTTTGATTGTGACTAAAAACAAAATCCCATGATGGAAAATAAAAAATAAATTTTAATGTTTAAGATTAAGTAAAATTGTGATTTTACCCTTCAAAAGAAGTTCTTATTCTTAAGCTGCGCACAGTCTAAAACCCTGGTTCATCTTCACTTACCAATCATCACCTTACATGTATACAGAGGAAGCCAACGAAGTAAACATCAATAAAGGACTGAAGAAAATGCTTACGCAGAATATAACTGTCTTACTTAAGGTGTCCTCAATCCTGACGATCTCCTTATGACAGATCCCTCCTGAAAGACAAATTCGAAAAAGTCTCAATGTTGTTTAGTTTATCCACAGGTCCTCGGGACCGTGATCACCAGCTATCCACACGCTGAAACACGTGAGGGACACTGTAAAAAAGTCCATTTACGAAAAAAGAGGCTAAAGTCAAAGCTCCGTAGAAAATATGTATTAAACTTGTTAAATGAACCACCACATTTGGCGAGGTTGAGCAGCCGAGGAGTCGAAATCGGGGCAACTGAGAATAATTCCAGTGAAAGACAGGGTGGAGGACTTGAACCCGGGATCACCAGATTGCAAGTCCAGCACCCTAACAACTCGGACACGCCGCCTCCTAGATGAAACTCTCTACTGTCTCTCAAGACCCTACCAGCACGGAGTGTTCAGTTAATATTCTCTTGTTCGGATCTTACTAAAAAATATCTTTACAGTTTCCTGGGACAGTTATAGTTGTTAAAAACTCAATAAACTAACTGCAGACACATATAACACCTCACGTGAATAGAGTTGATAGTCCGAGCTTCTTTCTCATTAGAGACCATAAGCAGTCACGATGGCAACGCCGAGGAAGATGTCGATAAAAAAACGAATTCATATTTTGGTATGATTTTCGCAAATGGCTGCATGTGTCTACCATCTCTTACGGCGCCACATTTCAATTCAGCATAGCGTATGTCAGCAGCGTTGAGTTTCAAATGAAAATTAAAGTAATTTGCCGTCGCGCTCTCCGTTCACAGACGACGCAAATTTTGGTGATTTCACGTTGTTATTATGCAGAGAATGGCTAAGAAATATACAAAGTTTTAAACGCACGTGCTTAGCCATTGTTCTGCCCATTAGATATTTTGTTTTACCTCGTCCTTGTTGCCGTCGCTGTCGTGGTTTGCCTAAAGTCCCTATTAGCTGTGTACTCCTTAAGTTGTCTTTTCCCCCGATTATTCTCATTGCTATTTTTTTTGTAGCCTTTCTAAAAGATATGAGTTTTCCCTGTGCAGTCACCTCATACGGTTTAACCGTAGTTTAAAGTAGGTTTTTTTTAAAATAAATCTTCTATAAAATGGCACGGCTGAGGAAATATGAAATCCTTTTGAAAAGTTTTAGTTTGGGAGATATACTGGTAGAAACGTATAACACACGATCGTTCAATGATAGCGATTTTTCTGCTGTATTTTTTTTTTCGAAAGGCGATTTGGCTCCTACACGAGCTGACCTACGGTGGCCTCGCTCAAATGGGACCTTCGTCTCTTGGGGAACGGCGCACGGGTTCATTTTCCGAGCAACGGCTAGTAATCGAGTCTTCAAGGAAGTTTAAGAAGAAGATTTTACACCGAGGCCATCATGTAAGGTTTTGTCATCCAACACTATCTGCAATTCAAGAAAACTATAAACTTGCCACAGCATATGTATTCTATGGTCAAAAGGGCAGTTTTGAGGCGTGAATTTACCAGTTCCCTTTCCGGAAGCATCAGAATCGCATTAAAAAGCCGAAAATGATCTCAGCGTACTTGTAATTGGGCATTTTATAACGCCAACCCAGTCAACCTTTTCGCGCGGAGGGGAAAGCCGTTAGTTAGTTCATGATTTGTCAATCAAAGTAATTTTCAATGCACGTCTTAATCAATCTCGACAATTCATGATCAAACCACACACGAGGATATGTATTTCAGGAAAGGTTTAAATGTCCAAAACACTTTTGCGCGCGTGACATCATCGCAATTAATTGTGACATCACAAAATGCTAATGATCTCTTGAGATTCTTCAGTTCAACTTCGTTCGCGTTTTTGAACAGCTTCGAGATGATTTCGAGGAGACAAAGTATTGTGCTTATCATGATTGTTTTGTGCTCTTATACTCAAGCCGAGCTTGAATGTCCGTCGCAATGTCACTGTACAGTTGACTTCTCCGTCGTGATTTGCCGAGGAATGGAAATATTCCCCGTGTTCAGCTTTGCATCAAAAGTCAAAATTCTGTAAGTTACACTATCAACATTCCTAGACACGACTTTTTCAAACTTTAGTTGGCATTTAGATGATCTAAAAGTGTTCACTCGTAAGTAGTGTTTTTAAGAACGGTTTAATGACGGAAACAGGAAATTCAAATAGTAACTGAATTATTCTTGCAAAGAACAGAAATCGCGTACGCTTGATGAAATTTGAGTCAACCTTTCAAAATCGTTTTTAAAATAGGAAGAACTGATGATACAAGGTGGGTCCTAACAAAACAAAAACCAACATTTCAAAATTACAATTCGACCTTGAAACTTTGGACCAAGAAGAGCCGCCTAGTTGAGTGTCCATTGCTAAATTCCCATTTATTTTCCCATTTTGTTACAATCACTCTTTTACTTTATTTGTTGTCTGTTTTATTATTTCTGCAGGGATTTGACTCATGGAAAAATCAAACACATCCACATTAAAGACGTGAAGGCCTACTCACACTTGAAAAAATTGTAAGTGGAGACAAACCTTAAAGATTTCTTAGTGAAGAGACAACTCGAAAGCGCCGAGGTTTTAACATGACTGTCTAATTTAAGGAGTCTTTAATTCTGGCCGATCGTCTTATGACGAATTATCTTCTGAGAGAAAAATTACTTGAAAAGGCTCAATCTTGTTTTTGTTTTTATTTCTTCTTTTTATTATTTTTTTATCCCGAGGTTAATCAATCACAATCCTCTGGACTGCAACCACGTGACTATCCACATGCTAAAACACTTGAGAGAAACCGCTGGATTGGAATCATTTGACGGCCACGAAATTGAATGTCCACGAGAACCCTCAGTAATAACTAATAGACCCTTTGGTAAGTTAAACCCATACCTTTTCGCCATATATGCGCCTTTATTATGAAAAATTTTTCAATAACAATGTAATTTTTACATCAAACACGCGCCCCTTATGAATAACAAAATCTTACCCATGAAATCACGATGCAGAGCTTTTTTACAGACAACAATTATCATGGGCATCGTCATAATCTCAGACCGTCAGGAGGCGCACCTCTAATTTACTTTGTTCATGGAAGTTTTGCTCAATTGGTTGGTGGGATCGTAATGATGTTTCTGGGCATGCTCGCTGTGGCTGTTGTTTGCTGTGTCTTGGTGCGCTATCGGCGCAAATTGTCTCGGTGAGTGTCCACATTCTTTAGTGTCTTACAATGTACAAGACGAAGCTGATACTTTGTAAGTTCCTCGTACTTAGCTGCCTAGTTCTAAATAATGTTAAGCGCCCCCATTCACTCTTGTCTCCATGCTTCCAGAAAATATGAGCACCAAAACTTGGCTGATGTAGATCCCCTCAGCAAAATGGAGAGAGGAACTGGATATAAATCTGACACGACTGGAAAGAGGGGAAAGAAACAGCAAAGAGGCCCCCAAGGATATCCTGAAAACGTGAAATCTGATGACTCGCTTTTGAAGGGAGATGATGGAGACGAGTCAGACACTGCTGAACACATGTTAGAAGCAGGCCTGAGGAAACAGCGAAGAAGTTCCCAAGGATATCCTAAAAATGTGAAGTCTGATGACTCACTTTTGGCAGAGGAGGAAGATTATCTGAAGAAGAACATGAAGAAACAGAGGAGCGCGTCCCGAGGGTATGCTCTGGGGAATCAATCCAGTGACGAGGAGAGTGTTATGCTGGAGATCGACATAAATTATAATTTGCTTTACTGGAGAACAATGTGATGGATGAGTTATATATTTTTGATGGAAACACTGTGAAATGTTATTCTCCGCCGATTCTTTTTTTCTCTTTACACTTACAAAGCCAAGAAGTACTTATTTTCTCAATGATTTTAAAGTTAAATCCCTAAAGTTTTCCTCCGTATTACAGTTTGAGTTTCATTGAAGTCTTACACTTTCAAGAGAGACATTTTCACATTTTGTTTTAAATTGAAAAATTATAATTCTCTAAAGAAAAAAACGATGAAATTTACGAATTAAAGAATTTTCATCACTGATAATTTAATTTCCTACATATGGCCTGTTCAGGATATCATCAGGGAGGAGGTTCCCAGGAAAATCCTGAAAATGGGTCATCTGGTGACTCCCTTTTGACGAAAGATGATAGTTTCAACAGGAAGGTAGAGAAACAGAGCATGGAGAAAGGGACTGGAAATGAATCACACGACTGAGTAAGAGCGGGAGGAAGGTTTAAAAATAACAGCGAAAAGGTTACCAGGGATATGTTAAACAAGTGAAATTTTATGAAGCACTTGTGACGAAGACGATCGAGGAAGGAAATGAAGAAACAGAGAAGCATGTGTCAGAGACATTCTTTTGGGGGTTGTATCCTCGTGTACCGGTACACAAAA